TAGTGACTGTCGAATGGCAGTTTTGTCGCGCTCACTTACTTTACAGGATATTTTCACAAATCCCTCAGGTGCTCTGAGACAGGAGAGTTTTGAATGGTGGCTCTCGTTCGTCGTCTAGAGGCCTAACCCTCGGTTCAAACTTTCCATCAACCCTGTCTCAGGGATGAGGTGACACGAGCTCTGACTCCACAGGGTTTTTATGAACACTTGGGTACCTCTCGGCCAGACGTCCCTCACCACTATTTGCCCCCAGACTGGAAAAAAACAAGTCCCAGTCGAACAAATAATCAACAGCGAATTTGACAAGACAACCCTGCCTCTCTGAATAAGACAATAAAAATTCAGTAACACACGAAACTTTTTCTATCAACTAGTAGACTACTGAATTTCATCACGATTGTAATTAATTTACTATAAACAAAGTTAAGGGAACCCGTAGCGAAGAAATAAAAAGAACGATCACAACTTTAAAAATCTAACACAAGAGAAAGAATTCCTCTAAATAGACCTATACACTATCATGTTCATCACGGCGAAGGAGAAAACATGACCATGAAGGCACATTGGAGACGAGTTATCTTAGTCTGCCACGTCACTTATCTGATCAGATCTCGTAGCTCCTCAGCGTCTCAGAGTGGAGTAATACGCCACCGTACTTTACTGCACAGTTACACAGGAATGAATCAGCTTCTCCGGATGCCGAAAAGGAAACTCTCTCTGCCGTACTTCCCAGTACGACCACACATGAACGAATCAGCTTCTAGTATTAATCAAGGACTGTCGCCTCACTTCACCGGAACGAATCAGCTTCAGGTGCGGATCCAGGAAGCTCAAGTCACTATTGAGGGACTCCGGCACCCGTGTCGTCCGCACATTCAACACCGTAATTCAGCAAAAACGTTTACTGGGTCGTGGCAGTTGGAACCACACTATCAAACGTAGACACTTGTTGGATCTTCAGAAAATCCCATTGTAAATAAAAAAAGAGAACAAGGAATCTTGTCTGTATAACGGTCAATTGGCGAGACACAAGGAAAAACGCCTGCCTCCAAGACCGGACTGTAGAGAGTGACGCACACAAAACACGTCCCCTACAACAGCAGTTAGCGTACGAATCGCGCTCACTAATGCAGTGCAGTAGTCAGACAATTTATTTAGAATAGGCGTAGAAAAGGCGTCCTAACATTTAATTCGACACTCAAAGCCTAAAAGAGTCATTATCAAAGGGTTTTATATGAATTTTTCCTATCAGGACTCCCCCACAACAAACGAACTATCTAACTATGCTTGGCCTATTCTATTACATAGTTACGATGACGAGTTTAGGGTGGTCAGTTATATGGACCTTCCTGCTGTGGCAGATGTGTGGATGCTGTCATGCGACATGACCTTATTCTCCAGTCCTCCAAACTGTCCATGTTTTTGAATGTTGACATAGACAGGACTCGCCTGGATTTAATTTGTCCGTCTATGACTCTGTCTGACCAGGGCGACAACATGTGGACGTTCGCCGTAGGCGTGTTTCTGGTGGAGATCGACGGAGACTCCTTGCAGCTGACCGCTTCCTTTGGGCTGACCATGGGGGTCAGCACGCTGCTACTGGGGCCCATTATTGGAGACTGGGTGGATAATATGCCTAGGCTGAGGGGTACTTTCTAGTTTTTTTTTCTCTTTCCTTTTTGTTTCTTTTCTGTCTTTGTTTCTTTTCTGTCCTTATTTCTTTTCTGTCTTTGTTTCTTTTCTGTCTTTGTTTCTTTTCTGTCTTTGTTTCTTTTCTGTCCTTGTTTCTTTTCTGTCTTTGTTTCTTTTCTGTCTTTGTTTCTTTTCTGTCCTTGTTTCTTTTCTGTCCTTATTTCTTTTCTGTCCTTATTTCTTTTCTGTCCTTATTTCTTTTCTGTCCTTATTTCTTTTCTGTCCTTATTTCTTTTTTGTCTTTGTTTTTTTTCTGTCTTTGTTTCTTTTCTGTCTTTGTTTTTTTTCTGCCTTTGTTTTTTTTTTTTTTTTTGTCTTTGTTTTTTTTTCTGTCTTTGTTTCTTTTCTGTCCTTATTTATTTTCTGTCTTTGTTTCTTTTCTGTCTTTGTTTCTTTTCTGTCTTTGTTTCTTTTCTGTCCTTGTTTCTTTTCTGTCTTTGTTTCTTTTCTGTCCTTGTTTCTTTTCTGTCTTTGTTTCTTTTCTGTCTTTGTTTCTTTTCTGTCTTTGTTTTTTTTCTCTCTTTTTTTCTGTCTTTGTTTCTTTTCTGTCTTTGTTTTTTTTTCTGTTTTTGTCTTTTTTTCTTTCTTTTTTTTCTTTTCTGTCTTTGTTTCTTTTCTGTCTTTGTTTTTTTTCTGTCTTTGTTTTTTTTTTCTGTCTTTGTTTCTTTTCTGTCTTTGTTTTTTTTCTGTTTTTTTTTTCTGTCTTTGTTTCTTTTCTGTCTTTGTTTTTTTTCTTTCTTTGTTTCTTTGTGAGTATATAACACAATTTACTAAGAACATTTCTGTAAAGAATGACAAAGATAAGCAGCCAAAATAAACAATAATAATTATACAAAAAAGTTGGTAGAAATAAATAGAAGAATAAAGACAGACAGAAAGAAAGGGGAAAAGTCAATGCGAAGAAAGACAGTTAACAGATTTAAAAGAAAGAGGATGCATATAGAAATCTGTAAATAAAAGAAGTAATTTAGAAAAGGGTGGGAACAATCTTGACGAAGAGAAGAAAACAGAAAACAGTGATCGAAAGAACGACAGAAAAGCGCATGAATGAGTGCAACAACAACAAAAAAAAAAAAAAATAATAATATGACGACTTGAACTGGATAAAATAAAAAGACAAACTTGGCTTTAAAAAATATACAGAGAAAAACAATATAACAAAAAGGTATTTGTGTAAGGAAATAATTAAACCGTTCATCCACTTCTTTCCAAGCAGCTGCTCAGAAAGTACAATCATCATGATCATCATAACCGTGTTCATGATCATCATCATCATCGTCATCATCAGCATAGGGAGCCAGTGCACTTCATATAGGTCTCACTGTTTAGTCTTCCAATGCTTTATAATGCTTAGAAATTTCTTTAAAACCATGGATAGGATCCTGACCAGTAATTGTGGCTTCTGTTATCAACGTTCGTTTTAGGGTTTCTTGTAGACGTACGTCGGCTCTGTGGCTAAGTCGATGCGAACGCTTCGTAATGCCGGGGTGCCGCGTTCGATTCCAGCTGCGGGCCATGCGCGTTGCGTTGGTTTCGACAGTGGTATCAGGGGGCCGACCTTCCAGGAGGCAATGGCAAACTACTGGACATAAATTTGCTTAGACAAACCACACAATAGCCAGGGGCTGCTGGGGTTGGTTCTGCAACGTCTTGTAAAGGATATGCAACTAACCTTGCAGACGTAGACATTTCCTCAACTCACCTGTTTGCGACTGAAGTGCTTGTGTGGTGAGCCTCTGTTCAACGTTCTTATGTATGTGCTCTTAGCAAGTACGATATTTCATTTTCGCATTGTCAGGGGCCATTCGTCTAGACTCATCCAGCCATGTCACTTTTCGTTGACATACTTGTTCACCTAACCGGCAACATTTCACCGTCTGCACAACGTTTGATGTAATTCATCACCACCACCCCCCCCCCTCCTCCAACACCCCCTTTTCGCAGTTAACACCAGTTTTGATGAACAGGTCTTTCGTGGACCGTCACTGGTCTGTGTGTGCGACATAATTGAAATTTTTCGTTGACCTGGGCTTCCCTGTCGATCCAACCTAAACTGGAGATAAGGATTGTCTGTGCTGACTACAGCCTGCCAGTGTCATACTGCCCATATCATCTATTTGAGGTCCGTTAGGATATAGAAATGTGAACCTAGCACGGTGAACGGAATAACGCTTTTGGTTTCACCATCATAACCTCCTGTTTATTGTGTCGTCTAATGGCATCTAAGGCTCGCAGACTAGTTCCCCATTCTGCTCTATCCTGCGAAATCTCTTCAGTGTCATGGATGGGATCCAGTCTAGCGTCTTTGGCCGCTCTCAGCAACGCATCTCAATGTTTCTCTTGGTTTCCTCAACTTGTGTTTTTCCCATTTTAGTGCTGGTTTGGTGTTTCTCTGTCAATTTCATCTCATAACTTGTCCAGTATATATTGTCAACTTCTCCCTCGTAGACATGTTGACACATGTGGATATAGTGTCAACAGCGACATAACATTTATACATTTCTTTACGCACAAGAATTGACAACTGATAATTATTCTGATCTATTGATAACTGAACGTTTGTTGCGTGTGTCGCAGCTGCCCAGGAGGCCTTGGTCCTGCAGAATGTCATGATTGCCCTCTGTGCTGGGTTCGTGTTCAATCTTCTAGAATTCGGCCCCGAGATCGAAGAATGGGGTCAGTGGGCTTCCATTGCTCACTACGTGTTGATTATAGTGCTGGGTACAGCGGCCTTCCTGGCCCACATCGCCAACACCATCACTGTGGAGAGAGACTGGGTCGTGGAGATATGCGACCGGGATGAGGATCGTCTGGCCTGTAAGTCCCGATTTTCTTGTGGTCAAACATTTGTTACTGTATTGTTTCATCATCATCGCCACCATCTTCTTCACAGCAACTTCAAAAAATTCATCACAAGAAATTATACTGATACAGCAGTATAAGTGCAGTTTGCATCCTAGCATTTCACAGTCAAACAAAAAGCTAATTCTGCATAAAGCACGTGACCAGAATCTGGTAATCTGGTAATCTGGTAATCTGGTAATCCTAGTTTCAGCTTCATAGCAAACGGGTCACCCCACATATGCTCCGCTCTTGTGCCAACGAAAAACAAACGCAGCTCACAGTGTCACGCCATGCACTCAACTCAGAAGCTGGGCGACGAAACTACATCCTTCCAGTCTACAAATGGAGCAAAAATGCAACGGCCACCGTCTGGAAAAAAAAATATTTGCCACGGCTTTGAAAAAAAAAGGTGGCCGTACCTAGCGTCCATTTTGACCGGAAGAATTATATGAGGGTTAATAAACGGTCACCCCAGCAGTACCCTCATTATTAGCTGGGGAAGGGACTTAGGACATTACATCCACCAGCAGGCGTCGCCCCTACAACGACCTGCCTGCCATCGTTAACGACTGTTCACCCAACAGCCATGCAGTTCTTTGGCACAAAGGAGACACCTTGAACTTGGGTTTCGTACTGCCGACTCCCTACTAAGTTGTTATTTTATGTTCTGTTATCACAATTAATGTCACTGCACATTGGGCATACCCATGCGTGCTCAGTTCTCCGAAGCAGCAGCCACTCTAAAGTACTTCTACTAATTGTCCCCATGAGAAGCTGGTTATATTGTCTCCTTTCTCGGCCTCGAAGACGGCAAAGACGTGCATCACCATGCTTAACTCCCATGTCACGCAATCGTGTTAGTGTCAGGGATTCCTCATTCTCCACTAGCAAAGTTCGTACAGCGTTGACTATGTCTGCTCTGTCCAGACTTTTTCCCGCAATCATTAGTGCAGTGCTTGCCAGTTGGTCTGCTCGCTCATTTCCCTTCACGCCCGCATGACCCGGTGTGTAGATCCAGGTTACGGAGGTTAAGTGCGATTTCCTGATGCTTTCTATCCATTCAGAGCGCATACTGCCTGTTGCTATCTTCTGAAGCATATTCATTGAGTCTGAGACAATTACTACCTGTGTGGCGGTTTGCTCGGATACCCATGCTAAAGCTCTAGAAGCAGCGGCTATTTCCATTGTCATGCTTGACGTGGTTGTCTGGTAAGCGCCACTGTCCTCATGTATTGTTTTCCCCTTTCTTTGCGCTGTGTATGCCCATGCTGACCTTGATCCGCGCTTCACGGATCCATCTGTGTAGATGATGGTATCTTCTGGGTGTGAATGCTGATCTATCAGTTCCCTTACTTCTGTGTCTACCGCCGCAGGAATTTGATCCCTGCAGTACCTTCCGAGTGTGATGACAACCTTAGAAATGCCATGCATGTCTACTGGTGTATTCGTCCATTCTTTTCCGTGGCTGATCACGTCTAAGTCACATACCTGCTGGATTAAGTCCTCAGCCTTTGCCATCCAAGAGCGGCCCCTTTTGAGACGCGTTCCTTTTGTGTTGTGAATAGCTTTGTGTAATGGGTGGTTAACATCTGCCGATACCCTCATGTAAGCCTTGACCTGTGCCACTTTGTATCTGCTTGTCATAGTCGGCAGACCCAGGATATAACGCATGGCGTTGCAGGAGGTGTCTTTTGTGCAGCCGAGTATGAGTCTCATGGCCTCATTCTGTACTCGGTCCAGTCTTTCTAGCTGGGTTTTGCTGACAGTGAGGAGGCCAAGACCATAGTCAATGACGCTAAGCACAAGCCCTTGATAGAGAAGGAAAAGTAGACGTTGTTCAATATCAGCTGCTGCTAGCACCTTGAGTGCTGTCAAACCTTTCCTGGCTCTAAGTATGACGTTGTCTACGTGGCATTTGTATGACAAGCATCTGTCAAATGTCATGCCCAGGTATTTCATGGTGTCCGTTCTCTCGATGTCCACACCATAGATGCTTACGACTGGCGTTGGTGTACTCACGATGTGGGTATTCAGAGAGAACCATGTTAAGGAGGCTTTGGACGGGTTCACATGAGCTCTTGATTCCTGGCACCACTCACTAAGTCTGTCTAGTTCGTGTTGTAGTGTGTGCCTGTTTTTACCTCGACGGTAAACAAGAATATCATCTGCATACGACATTGTTCTGCCTAGGCCTACGCGTTGTGCACTAGTGACTCCTGCTGTGTACACATTGAAGAGCACAGGCGACAATGGTGATCCCTGGGGCAGACCCATTAGGACGCGTTGAGGTTCGGATGTCCATTCACCACATCGAAGCGACACTGTTCTTTCAAATAGCGCTGCTGCGATCCAGTTGACCAAATTTGTTTCTATCTGCATATCCAACAGCAGTCTGATGAGCATGTTGTATGGGACGCTGTTGTACGCATCTTCTAAGTCAATAGCGGCTGCAGCCGTTTCTATTCCCTCCTGGAAACCCTCATATGTGTCGTAGGCAAATACTGCAGCATTGCACCACGTATCTCTTCCTGGTCGGTAGCCACATAGTGTAGCGGGGAATAGGCCACCCGACTCCAATATTTGGGTCAACGTTCTGACAACGATTTTTTCCATGAGTTTTCCTACAGTGTTCTGGAGTGTGATGATTCTGTAGCCATTTATTCTCGTGTGATATTTTCCTGGCTTAGGAACCGGTCTGAGGTAGCTGTGGAGCCAGTCATCAGGAATAGTGCCAGTTTTCATGGTGTTGTTAAAAATCGTGGATAGTTCATCAATATCTGTCGCCTCGAGGCTTTTGAAGTGGCTGTATCTAATGCCATCAGGCCCTGGAGCTGTGTCCGGACAGGTCTTCAGTGTTGCTCTGATGCAGTCCGTTGAGATGTATACTGTATCATCGACTTCCTCCATTTCAGCCATCTGGATATCATGTAAACTCTGTCTCATCTGTTCCCTCTCTTCCCTATCTTTCTTTTCCGTCTGCAGAAGAAATCTGTGCAGGATAGCCTCGCCCTTGTCTTTATCCGATTGTAACACCACCCCGTTGTCCATCAATAGCTCGGGCATAACAGAGGTTTGTTTGCCTCCGTTCATCTTTTGGTGAAGCCGCCAGAATTTTCAAAGTGATTTTTCATAACCTATTTCCTCGCAAAACTGTTCCCACATTGTGTGCTTAGACTCCTTAGCGAGTTGTTTAAAATGTTCAGTGAGTCTGTCTTTTTTGTGTTTAATGTCTTGTTTCAGCGCCTCAGTAAAATTCGAAGACTTTCTGCATTTCTCCCAGTCTTTGGTGGCACCTCGTTTCTCTGTCCAGGCTTCTGCGACTTCAGGTGTCCACCACGGGGGCTGTTGAAAGATAGCTTTCTTCTTTCCTGGTGTTCTGCGTGACCTGTCTCGCAGACGCCCAATTACATTAGGCTGATGTGCAGCGTACTGGAAAGTAGTGGCTGGTCTCTGATACCTTGTACAGATTGTTTGTTTGACCAGAATCTAACATGGAAGGAGGTCGCTTCCATGATGTCCCAGTATGCCCCACTGGCAGAGTGCACTCACACTGGGAGAGACCAGCGTGAGATCAAGGGCACTGTCAGTATCACCTTCTCTGTCGGGGATTCTGGTGGGTCTGCCATCATTCAAGCAGATTAAATCCGTGTCTGTTAGTGCTTCCTCCAATGCCTCGCCCTGCTTATTGACCGTCGGATTGCCCCATAGACGACATTTGGCGTTGAAGTCCCCACACATAATGATGTCGGTGGATATCTGCTCGCACATGTCACTTAATATTGTCCACTTTTCTTTGTCAACTTTATCATTACAGGCATAGATGTTGATTAGAGTGAAAGGTTTACTCCCGTCTACCTTTACGGCATGGACCTGAACGTCGCTGTTGTTCCATGCACTCGTGTCTACAACTGAGGATGTTATTCCGCGCCTGACCAGGATCGCTTGGCCTAGGTGTTTACTGTTGTAGTACGTTTGGAAGCCTGAGACATTCAGAGTTTCTTCTGTATTCAGCCGGGTCTCCTGAAGTGCGATTACATCAGCATCATATATCAGTTTCTCTAAGATTGGGCCTCTCTGTCGAACACTCCTGCAGTTCCAGCAAAGAATGCGGAGATTTCCCTTGCTAAGGCGTTCTGACCAGAATACCCTCTAATACGATCTCGCTGCCTAGGCTTGTGCATCTCAGGGTAAGATCAGGAGAAACTGAGGTAAAATGAATCCAGTGAATGGTTGTATAATAAAATGGACTAAGTCATTGGCGTTTAGAAACAGCATTCATACTTGGATACTGTGATGTCAAGTGGTGATAGAAGACACAGTTGGTGATGAGGATACTGTGATGTCAAGTGGTGATAGAAGACACAGTTGGTGATGAGGATACTGTGATGTCAAGTGGAGATAGAAGACACAGTTGGTGATGAGGATACTGTGATGTCAAGTGGAGATAGAAGACACAGTTGGTGATGAGGATACTGTGATGTCAAGTGGTGATAGAAGACACAGTTGGTGATGAGGATACTGTGATGTCAAGTGGAGATAGAAGACACAGTTGGTGATGAGGATACTGTGATGTCAAGTGGAGATAGAAGACACAGTTGGTGATGAGGATACTGTGATGTCAAGTGGAGAAGACACAGTAGAGGAACACAGTTGGTGATGAGGATACTGTGATGTCAAGTGGTGATAGAAGAAGACACAGTTGGTGATGAGGATACTGTGATGTCAAGTGGAGATAGAAGACACAGTTGGTGATGAGGATACTGTGATGTCAAGTGGTGATAGAAGACACAGTTGGTGATGAGGATACTGTGATGTCAAGTGGAGATAGATCTTATTCAAAAGTCCTTCTACCACTCTTTTTTTCAATTTCTAAGTCACTGTCCTGGCTAAGGTTTTTCAGCTTTTCAGTGATAACCAACATCATGTTCAATCTTTCGTAGCTATTGCTTAGTGAGGGCACTGAAGTTCCGTATTATCTTCTTCTTGTGCTACACGTCCAATTGTCTCTAGTGTGTTTATGTTTCCTCCCTCTCTCGCTGAGCTGTCTAGTCTTTGCTCAGTGAATTGATTTCGTGGCGCTAACCCGAATGGAGTCATCTTCGTTTCCTGTTGATTATTATTATTATTATTATTTTTTTTTTTTTGCTTTAGCAACTTCCAGAGAAGACTTTGCTTCAACTCGGAAGATTCCATGTTCCTGGAGACAAAAAAGACTTGTGTCAGTCGGAGTTTGAAACCGGCATGAATGCGTATGATGAAGAAAACTATTATGGGCGACTAAGGAGATGTAAACTAATCTAGGCTCACCGCATTACTTACATAGGTACACTTTGTCGTTGTGGGAAGTAAAGGTGACCGGCGTGATGTTGACCACATTCAATAAGAAATGTCGATCGCTCCATGACGATATAGGTCTAGCACTATATGCCCAATGTGCCAAGAGAGTGAAAAGTGTACTTTGCTTTTCTTTGCTTACTTATTACTAAAACTACAATAAAGGCAAAGGACCATTTTCCACGCCCTCAGGCGTATTGGGCATATAGGGCTAGATCTATATTGAATAGACCAGTCGGTACTCGCTGGCCACCATAACGTCCTAGTTTCTTTACCTCGTAGCAACACAAGGCTGGGTCGATCTGGGAGTCTAGGTTATTTCTTGAGAACAAACAAATTTTAACAAATACAAATAAAAAGTACGGCTCCATCAGAAACTCAAACCACTATCTTCAGAACCGCAGGCTACACAAACTACATTTTCCAACAGGATGCCACTCTAAAACTAAGTATCCTGCTGAGTGCGTGTGACAGTCAGGTAAATATTACTGTTGCAGGACCCAGGGATCCAGGAATCCAGGGGTCTGAATGACTCTGCAAGAAAACAGACAGATGTAAAATACTATTAAGCTGACAGTTTGTAGGAAAAGTAATGAAACCACCCCGGATGGAATAAAATGGTTGTGATATCTAGGATTTAAATTAAAGAGATATGTTAAATAGCATGTGTCGATAACTTATACCCTGGTCTAGGGATGATGCCAATAGTTTCAAACTGATCAAGATATGGTTACTGGTGAAAACAACTAATATATTCCGTTTATCCACACATAGTGTAACTGTTGTTGTTAGTGTTATTGATGTTTGCACCTGTCCGAATATTGTTGTGTAATAAGACACAGGACTACATTTCATGAAGTTTGCGAGAGTGACTAACAAGGTCCACCTGCGTTAAGAAACGTCTTCAACAATTGAAGCATGTGGATTTCCGCACAGTTGGTACCATCATACGTAGTCAGTCTGCTTCTTCTCAGACGCCCAGCTCTCAACCTTTCAACAATCATTTTTCCATTTTTATCGCTCCCTTCCTGATTTTCCCGGTCTGGGAAATACAGTCTATGACATTGCATTCCTAAAAGTTTACATCAATGCCCGTATGGTTTATGTCCTACATGCACACAACTTTATGTCTTCTATCCCTTCAGCTGCCGTGGTCTAGCGACTAGACGCTCAGCTACGGATCGGAAGGTTGTGTGTTCGGTTCCTGACGAAAGCCGGATTTTTTTTCAAAAATAACCTTGGCTCCCAGGCTGACCTAGCATTTAGTGGGTACAAGGTAGAGTCATGGGAAGTAAAGGCGACCGGCGTGATACTGACCACATCAAACACTAAGTGCCGTTATGTCTATATAATATAGCTCTAGCACTATATACCCAGTAAGCCTGAAAGGTGTGGCAAAAGGTCCTTTACTTGTTACCTTCGTCCACCTTGTAAATCACCCCGAAGGATGTTGTTAGAGACTCTACTATCCTCGATTCTCCAGGTGTGACCCAACCACATAAGCTTTCGGATATTAAGCATTGACAGAACTCTTGTCATACAGGCTCTTTTCAATACTTTATTGTTTGTTACGATGTCCCAACACATTACACTAGTAATAAATGTCCCTTTTGCCTGTTGCCGCACAGCCATGACAGCTACAATGAGAGCCATTGACTTGACAGCTATGATAGTGGCTCCAATCGCCACGGGACAGATCATGACGGCAGCCTCCAGCAAGATTGGGGCCTTGTTTATTGCCGGGTGGAACGTGCTGTCCTTCTTCGTCGAATACGTTTTGTTGCTCAAAGTCTACTACAGTGTCCCTGCTCTACAGAAAGACAAGGATGCATCTACAGAGAGCTGTAAGTCCTCATCTATTATAAGTGATAAGTGTTCATGCTGTACTCAACACATCGGCACAAACGGATAACACATTGGATTTCATTTGAAAAGACACGAAACAAACTCATCAACTTAAGCACACAGATACTCACACACGCTCGCGCAAACTCACACACACAAACTCATATACAAGATCGTTTGTCGCTTTGAAAAATTCAAAACAACGTGTAGTCTATATCATGACAATGTATTGTTTATTTCATGTTATTATTGCGTTTTGATTTATGTCACTTTATTCAATGGGAAATGTTAAATCACATTGTCAAACCTATGTAGGGTCAGTGAATACTTTCATAATTTTCTGCATTGTTCTTTTCAGCTGCTGAAAACTCTTTCAGTCCTAAACAGTACGTATTTTGTTTCTGCTTGTTAAATTAATGCTATATGAAGAATTGTCTTCTCTTGTGTGTTGAAATAAAACTAAAAAGTAGATTGTACCGTTTCTACATGTTAAGTTAATGCCATCTAGAGTAGTGTCCTATCTTTTTTGTTGAAATAAAATGAAGTTAGATTGTATTGCCTCTACGTGGTTATACCAACTAGTGTATTATATTTATGTTGCTGAATTGACACAAGCGGTCGAAGTGGTCAAGCCTATTGCTTAGTTTTCTGAAAGTCGTGGGTTCGTTTTACGGACTGGTCGTTCAGATCATGAGTGGCAAGTTTATCGAAGATTCATGGGAGTCATTGCTGGAGACATGGTATTCGTGCTTTGTGCGACGCACAGTTGGCATGCAACTAACCGTTCTGCAGAGACCGAAAAGTTTCAGATAACCCCGGGCAATGATGTCGATTTTTTCGAATTTAACTTTACATTTACTTGTAGACCAACTTGTCTATTGTCCTATTTATAAATGTTCCCACATCATTTTGTTCTTGGCAGCGATTTAAAAAAAAAAAATCCACTGCCGGCTTTCTAGTTCTGTCGCATGTTTACCAAACTCCCGGTACCTAAAACGTTTCCGCGGTGACCCACGATGGCTGGCAACCGTGGCGGTATGTGGCACAAGGGCACACACAACTTGGCCCAGTTCAAGCAACCCCTCACTTTGTCCTGGTTAAACATCTCTCACGGGGAGATAACATCAGAGAAACTACAACAGCACCATGTGTCAATGGCCGAGGTGGCTTGAAGAGCAAAATGTAGAACCCTCTATCTTTCCACACCCAAAACCGTAAAAGAGGAAGTGGACAGGACGCAGAAGTGAGTTGTGTCCCGTTTTGCTTTCATCTACGATAAAGCTTCGTTATCATCTGATAAGCTTTGTAAATCATTGTATACCACCACAAGAATGTTTGAGTATGAAACCAAACAGGTGTCTCTGTTAGCTAGTTCTGTATCTCTGTGTCTTCGATTTAATTTTTGTTTCTTCCTGGTACAATTCCTGTAACCTGTTTGTAAGTTTGATGCATTTCTCGATGCAACGCCTCGTGTCTTCTGTCTGCCAATGACGTTCTTTCTGTTTTACCTGAAAATATATTCCTGTTCTCATTTTTCTTTTGCATATTTGTTTATTGTTTTCGTCCTATTTGCGTGCAACATAATCATTGTTATGTACCTGACTAAACCACGTATGTGTTGGTATCTTTCCACGAACCTGCACTTATGGTGTTCTGAATAAATATCATTCATGATAATCCTTCTGAATCCATCTAGTGTTGTTTCTCGCCTGCCATGATATTTCTGTTGTTGTTTTTCCCCGGTCGTCGTTAGGTGCGTTACTACAGAGCAAAATAAACGTATAATGACGACAAAACTGAATTAACTCCAATGAAATCCAAATCACCTGTATTTTCCTGGTGCATTTAAAAATCTAATTGCCGGAAGTTCCCAATGGACACGTGATTTACAGATAACTTACACAATTTAAAATGAACATAAGGTCATAAGCTGGTATTGGTCATGTGAAATGTTGAAGCAGCTAGTCTCAGCTTTCGTCTTTTCTATGGCGAAGTTCGATAGAAGGAAAACATGGTTCTTTAGGACAAAGAGGACTTTGCTTTGTCTCATTGTGACATATACATCAGCTCACAGTCTAACTAACTAACCAATTAATTAATGAACTAATTAATTTAATTGTCTAACTAGCTAGCTAAATGACCTTCATAATAGGAAAAAAGTGACCAAAGTTTCAATGCTAGTTTTTCATTTCTGTATACATATTGCTGTGTGCTAGTTTTTTATGGGCATCACTTTTTGTTTATTTTAAAATCTCTTTAGAACTGCACAGCTCAGGTCTCTGAATGTACTCTGTCTCTGAATATAGTCTGTCTCTGAATGTAGTCTGTCTCTGAATATAGTCTGTCTCTGAATGTAGTCTGTCTCTGAATATAGTCTGTCTCTGAATGTAGTCTGTCTCTGAATGTACTCTGTCTCTGAATGAAGTCTGACTCTGAATGTTGTCTGTCTCTGAATGTAGTCTGCCTCTGAATATAGTCTGTCTCTGAATATAGTCTGTCTCTGAATATAGTCTGTCTCTGAATGAAGTCTGTGTCTGAATATAGTCTGTCTCTGAATGCAGTCTGTCTCTGAATGTAGTCTGTCTCTGAATGTAGTCTGTCTCTGAATGTAGTCTGTCTCTGAATATAGTCTGTCTCTGAATGTAGTCTGTCTCTGAATATAGTCTGTCTCTGAATGTAGTCTGTCTCTGAATATAGTCTGTCTCTGAATATAGTCTGTCTCTGAATAAAGTCTGTCTCTGAATGTAGTCTGTCTCTGAATATAGTCTGTCTTTGAATATAGTCTGTCTTTGAACATAGTCTGCCTCTGAATGTAGTCTGTCTGTGAATATAGTCTGTCTCTGAATATAGTCAGTCTTTGAAGATAGTCTGTCTCTGAATGTAGTCTGTCTCTGAATGTAGTCTGTCTCTGAATATAGTCTGTCTCTGAATGTAGTCTGTCTATGACTGATGGTGGTCTGTCTCTGACAGAAGTCTGTCTCTGACAGTGGTCTGTCTCTGACAGTGGTCTGTCTCTGACAGTGGTCTGTCTCTGACAGTGGTCTGTCTCTGACAGTAGTCTGTCTCTGACAGTAGTCTTTCTCTGACAGTGGTCTGTCTCTGACAGTGATCTGTCTCTGACAGTAGTCTTTCTCTGACAGTGGTCTGTCTCTGACAGTGATCTGTCTCTGACAGTGGTCTGTCTCTGACTGTGGTCTGTCTCTGACAGTAGTCTGTCTCTGACAGTAGTCTGTCTCTGACAGTAGTCTGTCTCTGACTGTGGTCTGTCTTTTACTGCGGTCTGTCTCTGACAGTAGTCTGTCTCTGACAGTAGTCTGTCTCTGACAGTAGTCTGTCTCTGACAGTAGTCTGTCACTGACTATGGTCTGTCTCTGACAGTAGTCTGTCTCTGACAGTAGTCTGACTGTGTTGTGTCTGCGACTGTGGTGTGTCTCTGACTGTGGTGTGTCTCTGACTGTGGTGTGTCTCTGACTGTGGTGTGTCTCTGACTGTGATCTGTTTCTGACTGTGATGTCTTTCTGACTGTAGTCTGTCTCTGACTGTAGTCTGTCTCTGACAGTAGTCTGTCTCTGACAGTGGTGTGTCTCTGACAGTAGTCTGTCCCTGACTGTGGTGTGTCTCTGACAGTAGTCTGTCTCTGACAGTAGTCTGTCTCTGACAGTGGTGTGTCTCTGACAGTAGTCTGTCTCTGACAGTAGTCTGTCTCTGACAGTAGTCTGTCTCTGACAGTAGTCTGTCTCTGACAGTAGTCTGTCTATGACAGTGGTGTGTCTCTGACTGTGGTGTGTCTCTGACTGTGGTATGTCTCTGACAGTAGTCTGTCTCTGACAGTAGTCTGTCTCTGACAGTAGTCTGTCTCTGACAGGAGTCTGTCTTTGACAGTAGTCTGTCTCTGACTGTGGTGTGTCTTTGACAGTAGTCTGTCTCTGACAGTAGTCTGTCTCTGACAGTAGTCTGTCTCTGACAGTGGTGTGTCTCTGAAAGTTTTCTGTCTCTGACATTAGTCTGTCTCTGACAGTAGTCTGTCTCTGACAGTAGTCTGTCTCTGACAGTGGTGTTTCTCTGACAGTAGTCTGTCTCTGACAGTAGTCTGTCTCTGACTGTGGTGTGTCTCTGACAGTAGTCTGTCTCTAACAGTAGTCTGTCTCTGACAGTAGTCTGTCTCTGACAGTGGTGTGTCTCTGACTGTGGTGTGTCTCTGACAGTAGTCTGTCTCTGACAGTAGTCTGTCTCTGACAGTAGTCTGTCTCTGACTGTGGTGTGTCTCTGACAGTAGTCTGTCTCTGACAGTAGTCTGTCTCTGACAGTAGTCTGTCTCTGACAGTAGTCTGTCTCTGACAGTAGTCGGTCTCTGACAGTGGTGTGTCTCTGACTGTAGTCTGTCTCTGACAGTGGTGTGTCTCTGACAGTAGTCTGTCTCTGACAGTGGTGTGTCTTTGACAGTAGTTTGTCTCTGACAGTGGTGTGTCTCTGACAGTGATGTTTTTCTGACTGTGGTCTATCTCTGACAGTGGTCTGTCTCTGACTGTGGTGTGTCTCTTACTGTGGGGTGTCTGATAGTTGTCTGACACAGACACTCAGTGAGTTCAATGTGTTCAACAGAAACTCGGAACTGGTGGAGTCTATGGGGCAGTCACGAACTTTGATGACAGCATCTGCAAGAACCAAATCGGTGAAGTCGCACTCAAAAGCAGCCACTGAGAACTTGGAGTTTGGCGATAAGCAGACTTCGTCCAAACTTCAGCAAGGTCAAGAAAATAATTCCTGCTGGAATAGGTAGGGTAATAAACCAGTTGGAAAATCTTGTCAGTCTGACTGTTGATCAATTGGCAGTCAGATGGGCCATATTTTGTAAAGTCATATAACATTTGTACCCCGATATATTTAATTACAGACTAAAGACTCCGTGTTTTGTTTCAAGTCGATACCTGAAAGGGTTACCATGATAAGGGTAACAACTCTAAGAGCAGAACTTTCTGTGCAAAGAAAGTTTCGCAATTAGACTACGCTAGCTAGACTGGAGAGAAATTAAAGATCTTAAAGGTTTGTAAATAAACAAAGCCACACGAGTTCAAGAACCTTAAGTCTGAAGAGCTCCCAATTATTTGACGATCAAACAGATACCCACGGTAAACTGGAGCTCTATTTAATGAGTGTATTCCCCGTGTGGGTTCCGGGGCCCCATCGCGGGGAAAACAAGAAAAGACCCACACTGCCTCCCCAAAAGCATGTCGTAAGAGTCGACTAAATGGGGAGCTTCCTTTGAAGTCGGAGTGCATCGGCCTGATAGGCAAGGAACCAACAGTCTGCATTCAAGTGAATCAGATCTGTAAAACTGATGCACGTGCAACACTCAGGTTTTGGAGCAGGACTGCAGTTCAGAAGTGGATGAACAACCAGAACTGTCACCAGAGTGTACAGCAGGTGAACGCGAAGAAGAAGAAGAAGGAGTGGATCACGAACATTGCCCGAGATATGGTAGAAACGGTCTGTTCTTCTGTCACCTAACTACTTCCTGGCCACGAACAAGTGAGTCATCTCACTAACGTGACACGGAATTTGCTGACACCAAACACGACTTCAAAACCCCAACCGCTTGTCCAAAGCACCGTTAAAACATTTAGGATGCACTATCGAGCCCAGCTATTTTAATAAATCATTACCAAAAGACAGAGCTGTGAATGTGGAAGAAGCTTCAGCCACCGCTCAACCTAACGCTCTTGCTGTTGTCCTCGGATAAGTTCTGCTTGGGATAAACTGCACAAGTGTTTTTTTTTTTTTTTTAAGAGATGGAGCATGACGTTTTAGCCTAATCGGAAAGTTTATTGCCAATGGCAGAATTCAAAAGAACAGATTTGAAAGTTTTTATTTTAAATTCTTTTATAAGATGACAGCCTGTAATAAACCAGACATGGAAAGAATGTGTCAGGCGACGTTGACCGAAACGCAGACTAAATAACAGGGCATGCAACAGCGACGACGGCATACAACTTGCAGGTACTGCAAAAGAAGAGGCTGGCTGTAAGGCATGGAGTAATCCAGTTGAAGCAATATGCTCAAGAAAAACGTATAGCTATGCCGATTGGTGCCGCCAGAGTCTAGAGTGCTTCTACACTTACATTTGCAATAATGAAGAGACAAAAACGAAGACCAGGTGTTTATTTGTTTTGATTATTATTTCTTTATAAGTTTGAAAAGGGAATGAATGAAACGATTGCGAAAAATATGATGATTTTTAATTTAAAAAAAAACATTTATACTGTGAGATTATTTATGATTTCATACCAATCTCTATTTTCTTATATAAGTAGTTCAACGATCTTAACATCAGAACAATAGGACTCATTCGGTACGCTGACCACCAGCACACAAGAAGACTGGTTTATTACAGAGCCTTGGGGGATCAACTTATAGATGTTCTACCGTGTAACCTACTCTAAATCAGTATACATGAACTAACGTGTGTGTGTACTGCCTCTTGCAGCTTACAGCGAATGTTCTCTGGTGTGACAATCATCGTGGAAGGCTGGAAGACCTACGCCAGGTATCCCGTCATGCTGAGCGGCCTGTCGTTGGCTCTGCTCTACATGACAGTGTTGGGATTCGACAACGTCACCATAGGTGGGTGTTGTGTGTCGAATCTGTGTTGAATTGAGAACAGGTATGTTGGCAGGGGAAATCATGAGAAAGGTCAATCATACCTGAGTCAAGGTTCATCAAGAGAATTGTCGGGCAAGACCTAAAACACGGAGGTTGAGTCAAGTCCCGGGAATATCTGCAGAAGCACGGAGAACTCAGACTTATGGAATAAACTTGGGCAGGTCTCAAGGATAAGGGAGTTGAGAGGAGACTGTCTTGCGGCGAGGATGTGTGGAGTCCTTTGCTAGTCGAGCAATCATTCTACAGCGGGGACGTGATCGTTCATTTCCACTGTTATGGCTCTTGACTGTTTGTTGGGGAGACACTTATTGGAGTCTCTAGTGTAGGATTCCTCGTTATGTTCCGACTCGCTACTATGTATCATGGAGACGTAGAAGTGATTAACGTCACTAGTCAGTTATATATGTATGTGCCTTTTTTAATGCAATGTATTATTCGCGGCATGGCCTTGTAGAGTAATTATAAATTATCCAATACTACTGCAAGCCAGAGTGTGAGGGGCTAGCCAATTGTCTTAGGTACAGAGGCGGTGATAGCTCGTGGATCCAGTAGGCACGAACGTTCTGTCGAAAACTGTCGTTGCTATTGAGGCCGCGTTAGCGCAGTCGATAGGAGACTCGCTTTCAAATCCAGCTGCAACTCGCTGCAGCCCATGGCAGGTGTTAGAAATCGTACGGTGCCAGGGGTTGACCCAGCCTCTAAGAAATGTGTACCGGAGTTAACACTCTGAGGTATATAGAGAAACGTCGCTGTAGCTACGGAGTTATGTGCGTACGGCGACACAGACTTACAGTTTCCAATCAGCTGTCTGTACTGGTGGCAGAGCACTTATGGTTTATAACTGTGTGTAGTGACGCTGGTTCACATCTCCCGACTTTGCCTTTATCTTTAGAGCGTTGTGTCGTGCTGAACTATTTGTGTTACACCTCGAGTGGTGAACGTTAATCATCACAACCTAGATACTTTGCCAAGTATGCGAGAGATAGCTCTCCTCCTGGATACAACAATGGATGCCGAGGCCGTCTAACCAATAGTTCTGCTGGGGCGTCATCATTGTGGTGTTTGTTCTGGTCGAACTTGGAGGCCAAGTCTAACATGTAGAGCATTTGTAACAAAGAAAGCAGAGACTTGTAGGGCGCCAGTGTGACAATGACAGTCACATTTTGGGGAGTTTGCACCGATTTGTGTATTGGGTTGCTGTGTGGGTCAGGCTTACATCCATCTGAAACCATCATACCGACTGTTACAACATCTAACTTACAACAAAATGAACTGCAATTTTTGCAGGTCGCTCACCGTTGAACATTTGAGCAGCGCATCAACCAATGGAATGACAATTGACAAGAGTTCCAACTCTATGTACTTTCATAGCCAATGCATCCTTAATGTTTTGTATTCACGTTCGTCGAGGTTGGCTTCTGCCTCGTTTTTGTTTTCTTTTTCTGGAAACCATACCCTCCATCTTTGTTCTTTCTAGGATACCATGACCTTGACTTGACTTGACTTTCTACCCCACAAGGACATCACACAAGCGATAAACACCCGATGACAAAAAGTGCCACCATGCGGATGAGGATCACCGTGGAGAGGTCCCAGAAACCGCGTTCAGACAATTGGCCATATTTATGGCCTGCCTATATTGCGGCCCCTGGCAAAAGCCAGAGTGGGGCTTCAAATAACAAAAAATTACGTTCTAAAAAGGACGTAACTGAATGAATTAAGTAACGACCATGACCTTGATGTCGTATCAGCAAATAATCACGATTTTATAACAAAAATTGTAATAGAGAAAATGCCGTCTACATGTTTTTTTTTCATTTCTGCCCGGACAATCAGCTAATCCTTGACACAATTTTGTTGTGGCTATTTTGAGTCCGTGAAGTGATTAAGAACTTTGGTCGAGTAGTCGGGTTCCATACTAGCTAACACAAGGTAAATAATCTAGTTGTTTTATGCATTTACAGTATATCGCTGACTATTTCCCTTGCAGGTTACGCTAAGATGCAGTGTTTGACAGAGTTCCATGTGGGCCTTATGATGGGCGGGGCGGGGTTGGTGGGCACCTTGGGCACTTTTGCGTACCCCGTGATGAGGCGCTGTCTGGGGCTGCCTTGGACTGGCATGGTGGCCCTGACCCTGCAGAGTGTGACATTGTCTATCTGTGTGGTGTCTGTGTGGCTGCCAGGGAGTCCCTTTGACCTGGAACACCCGGACAGTACGGGCATGAGCTGTGAAGGTAAGCCAAACACATCACAGAGTGGTAATATTTACCCAAAACTGCAAGTTTTAAGTTCATTCAGTGTACAGGGCTACACCACACGCGTAGCAAAAAATGTATGTATTAGGCCTGTTTCCACCTAACGCAGTTATTACCGGCCTTCATATATTGGGGCAATAAAGGGACGAGGGGCTGGCTGATGTTTATTTTTCGTCCGGGAACCAACTTTTCAGCCCCACTCTATACAATTTTATAACTGCTGGCTAGATTCGTTAGACTGAATATTGATTTTCCATGCCCTTTTCGAACTGTGGCCACATCTTAGAGCAGGGGTGAGGATGTCTTGCTAACTAAATAATATAGACTAGCCCTGTCTACTGACTATTTCAGTCTTGATGGCAGACCAGCAAGGTAAATCTCAGATACCCTTCTCAACCTCCAAAAATGTTATAATTAGGACCCGACCGGCAAGCCTACGCGGGTAAGGATCCACTCACGTATGCCCAAATACCGAAAGTTGACAGTTTTTGTGTGACGCCGGTACAGGGGTATGAATATCAAAATGGTTGGTCCTTGAAACAAATGTAGCCTTTGCCAGTTTTACAGAGCTGAGGCGAGTTCGATACTTTCCTGCTTGTAGCTAACACTAACGTTCCATAACTACATGGTTACAGAAATGTAAGGTTTTACTGACTGACTTCCCTTACTTTAGCAGCAGTTACATAGAATCGGCAGAACTGCTTCCGGGTGCCGGTTCCTGGACTCCATTTTAGGGTAAAAAAGAATAGATCATCTGCCTCTTAACAAGCATGTCATAAAAGGCGAATGGTTTCATATTTGCTGAAATTCGATGTGTTTTGTCAAAAGGCGCAGATATCACAGTCTAGTTGAGAATTTTTTTTAGGGCGAACGAAAAACAAAAAACAACTAGAGACAAGTCGGCTTACCCTAGATCCTTATGTGAGCTGTGAGTCGACAACAATCATCATGTCCATTGATATGTGTGACACCTCAGTTTCCCGAGTGAAATATAAACAATTAACTATTGCTTCCACATATTCTGTCGCCTACTCATTCTTTTCTGTTTATCCCGGGGCAGAAACTATCGATAGTAACCCAAGATTGTCATGTCATCTTTCTCTGTTGCACCTGTTGTCAGCCTGTAACATTAAATTGCCTCAAAACTATTGTGTAACCTTTGTGTCAACAGTAACCTAAGATTATATTAATTGATGAGTGCCTTGTAACCGTTCGACCCACTGTAACATAACATTGTAATACCTCACAATTGTCATCTGACCGTTCTACGTCATAGCATTTAGAAAAACCTCATAGCAAATTGGCGCCCATCTTCAAGCCAGCCAGGAGTTTCTATACAGGTTAACTACTCGTCTTGCCTTTCCCCAAGTCTAGTCTGGCTCACAGCGCCCGCAGACACTCCCCGCTGCAACATTCTCTCTAGGTGTGATGCCCGGCTCTCTAGCGTAGTTGGCTAAACCGGATTGCGCGGAGACCGGGTGACGAACTCCTTGTGGTCCGGGTTCAATCCCGGGGGTAGGCAGGAAAGCCACATTTTCTCCCAGATTTACCGTATTTACAATGGAATCAAGGCCGAAAGGTTGCGATATCTATAATACCGAGCCTAAGGGTTAACAACTCATGGCTTCTGGATACTAAAACAAACAAACAGCTCTAGGTGTGATGTTAAACATGTAGGTACATATTGTTCAGCTTAGACTTTCGCCATTACCTGCATGAAGTAATCAACCAGTCCACTCCCCGAGGACCATGGAGAGTGACAGGGAGAGTTTGTGTACAAGTAAACATCTCCCTACCCCCCACCCCTCCCCTCCCTGCCCCCTCACCAGAGGGGCATTGGACATATAAGTCAAGACACATCGTTTCATAGATCAGTCAACCCTCGATGGGTGTTGCGATCAAAATCACGCCGGTCGCCTTTACTTCCTAGCAGCTAATCAGGCAACCACTTTAGACAGTGTCGACTTGGGATTTGAACTCCTGACATTCGGATCCACAGGCTTGGGTTTAGCAGCTACATTACGGTAGAATCTACGATTTTTAAAATTCTGTTACTGTAGACATTCTAATGCCATCTAAACTTGTGAATGTTATCAAGTCTATCGGGTTCGAGCCTAACTTAGTTCCTCCGACTGATTCCGCCAATTTTGTGTATAAAAAAAAAAAAATCCTTGTCTCCCCTAAGCCTCCATCTCTGTCTTCTATCTCTCCCACAATGTGTCTCAGTCTCTAGCTCCCACTCCCCCTTTCTCTGCTATCTATATGTATGTTTCTCTCTCACACCTTCTCTTTATCATCCTGACTGTCTCAGTCGCATGCTCTCTCTGTCTATCTGGTTACCCGTTAAACCCAGCGAACTTTATCTGTTCATTTAACTCTCTGCGTGTGTGTGTGTGTGTGTGTGTGTGTGTGTGTGTGTGTGTGTGTGTGTGTTCACACATAATATCTTGCTTACTTTCTTTCCTTCTTAAATTGCGTAAATAAATATTCGCATCCTAAGCAAACATCTTTTCCTACGAGATTGCCGATTGCCACAAGTACACAGCGCATGGCTGTTGTGTTTCTATAGATTTCTCCTATTTACAGCTGAATAATTCACTCTTTCAAGTCGAGCCTCTTATCTAATCCATCTAGGAACTTTGGTGTAGAGCCACTTGCCTCTACAAACCCAACAGTTATCGATGCTGCATCAAAGAGAGTGTCCGCAGCTGGACACACTGGACACAGCAGGATGATAAACTTGGCAGGGGAACGTAGGGGCGAGAACTCGGCGGCTCTTACTCTATCTATCTATATCTATCTATCTATCTATCTATCTATCTATCTATCTATCTATCTATCTATCTATCTATCTATCTATCTATCTATCTATCTATCTATCTATCTATCTATCTATCTATCTATCTATCTATCTATCTATCTATCTTATCTATCTTATCTATCTTATCTATCTTATCTATCTATCTATCTATCTATCTATCTATCTATCTATCTATCTATCTATCTATCTATCTATCTATCTATCTATCTATCTATCTATCTTATCTATCTTATCTATCTTATCTATCTTATCTATCTATCTATCTATCTATCTATCTATCTATCTATCTATCTATCTATCTATCTATCTATCTATCTATCTATCTATCTATCTATCTATCTATCTATCTATCTATCTATCTATCTATCTATCTATCTATCTATCTATCTATCTATCTATCTATCTATCTATCTATCTATCTATCTATCTATCTATCTATCTATCTATCTATCTATCTAATCTGTCTGCCCGCCCGCCCGCCCACCCGCCCGTCAGTCCGTCCGTCCGTCTGTCTGTCTGTCTGTCTGTCTGTCTGTCTGTCTGTCTGTCTGTCTGTCTGTCTGTCTGTCTGTCTGTCTGTCTGTCTGTCTGTCTGTCTGTCTGTCTGTCTGTCTGTCTGTCTGTTTGTCTGTGTGTCTGTCTGTCTTGTGTGTGACTAATACATGTGTCTGTGTGTGTGTGTCTGTGTTTGTCTGCATGTGTGTGTCTTGGAGTTTGTCTGCATGTTTGATGTGACTGTGTGTATATCTGCGTGTGTGTCTGTGTGCGTCCCCGTGTGTGTTTGTCTGCATGTTTGCCTGTGTGTGTGTGTATGTGTGTTTGTCTGCGTGTGTGTCTATTTGGCTGTATGTATGTATCTGTGTGTCTGGGTATCTGTATGTTTGTCTGCTTGAGTGTATGTGTCAGCCTGTGTCTGTGTGTGTGTGTGCCATCAATATGTCGCATCAGTGTCATCGTGTCACTTTCTACAGGCAACTCCTCCAGCAGCTCCCGTAATGTGACCCGAGCAATCTCGGCATTAGGAGACGAGGGAAACTCTGCCGGTATGGAGACAAACATGACATCGATATCGGTGTTGATGGCTGGAATTATCGCTGCTAGATTTGGTAACCACATGCTCTCTCACCATGTTGCCTTACTTCCTCAATGTTTCTCTCATACACAATTTAAATGTAAACGATAAGTGTTTGAAAAGGTCGAATGTAAGATGTGCCTACGTGCCCTGTTTTTTACCCTTTGAAAATAACCTAATTTGTTCTTTACTTCTGTCTTTCCTACTGTGTAATTTAAAAATCAAAGTCGAAATGATCGCCTGCACTCAAGACGATCGACTGTACTCAAGACGCTCGACTACATTCAAGATGATCGACTACATTTAAGATGATCGATTACATTCAAGATGATCGACTACATTCAAGATGATCGACAACATTTAAGTTGATCGACTACATTCAAGATGATCGACTACATTTAAGACGCTCAACTACATTTAAGATGATCGACTACATTCAAGATGATCGACTACATTCATGACGCTCGACTACATTTTAGATGATCGACTACATTCAAGATGATCGATTACATTCAAGATGATCGACTACATTCAAGACGCTTGACTACATTTAAGATGATCGACTACATTTAAGATGATCGACTGCATTCAAGATGATCGACTGCATTCAAGATGATCGACTGCATTCAAGATGATCGACTGCATTCAAGATGATCGACTACATTCAAGACGCTCGACTACATTTAAGATGATCGACTACATTCAAGACGCTCGACTACATTTAAGATGATCGACTGCATTCAAGATGATCGACTACATTCAAGATGATCGACTACATTCAAGACGCTCGACTACATTTAAGATGATCGACTACATTCAAGACGCTCGACTACATTTAAGACGCTCGACTACATTCAAGATGATCGACTACATTCAAGACGCTTGACTACATTTAAGATGATCGACTACATTTAAGATGATCGACTACATTCAAGATGATCGACTACATTCAAGACGCTCGACTACATTTAACTCATTGAGTCCTAAGGAACGCATCATACGTTCATAGGTTCCTACCTAGAAGCCCAATGAACGCATGATGTGCCGATTTTATAACTCTATTGACAACAGTCTGGGCCTGTATTGCTAAACCCCTTGGGACTCAAAAGAGTTAAGATGATTGACTACATTCAAGATGATCGACTACATACAAGACGCTCGACTACATTCAAGATGATCGACTACATTCAAGATGATCGACTACATTTAAGATGATCGACTACAATCAAAGATAATCGACTACGTTCAAGACGCTCGACTACACTGCACCTGATCATTGGCTATGACATCTGAGAACAGTAAGCCGCCAGCCGAGGTGGTCGCATGAAGCAAGAAGTCCGTAGATTCGGCAATTCAGGATCCCATGCATCTCAATAACAACTTGTGACCTGAACAGCGAGCTTGGGAAACGAACCACGATCTTCAGAACCCACGGCAAAGGGCTTGACCATTTTGCCCCGCAGACGCTAAAGTACTACTGTCTGTCTACAGACATGCAGCAAACGTTTTACAATACAAGCGACAGTAGATATGTTTACCGACTTGTGTACAGAGAAAAGTGCTGTAATCAACTTAGAAAAGGCAACCGTCCTGTGGTGTTTTTTGGACAACAGAATTGTTAGAGCTGATGTTCGCAGACACAAGGGAAATCAAGAGACAGAAGACTGTGGTACCTGGGAATCACCTTTGACAGAAGTTTGTTGTTTACGGATCACATAAAGGGGACAAAAGCTCAAAACGTTCCTAATGCACTAAAGATTATGGCAGCGATGGATATGGAGCAGAAAATGCTATTCACACTTTACCAGCACTTAATCATCTCAGTGACTGATTATGGACTGGAGTTTCTTACTGTCTCGAAGAGTCAGCTAGAAAAATTATAGCGCATACGGAATGAAGCTTTGCGGGGACATAATTGCATTGCCGACAATGTGTAGATAGGCTAAAAGTGCTACAGGCTAAGTCATACCTCTGAGTAGCTGCAGACAAAAGTGCACCCTCTGTATGAAGCTTTGGCTGCAGGTAAGGGACAGAGGCTGAAAAGGAGAAAATCGTGGATGGCTTAAGCAAAAGGCACAAATAGACAAGTATGCATGCGTGAGTACATTTGGCGAGGAAAGGAGTGGGTCAGAATACCAGAGGAAAGGTCTGACCTATGTAAGGTCATGATCACATTGAACCGGGAGTACAGAGAGGCTGTAACTGCAGCTCTCCGGTGGCTAGAGAACAAGATGCATACACATGTCGTAATTACAAACGACTCTGAAAGCTTGCTGGTAAAAGTGAAGAGAGGGATGCTTTAAACAGTGGCAAGCTTCACTAAGAAGGTCACAGAAAGTAAGCATACTTTGGATCTTTTAACTAGGCAATGCCGGCGTGGTGGGTTATAAACAGGCAGATTGATTGGCTGAATGTGCACCACTGAGTTGTGAGTTAACACATGACAAGGCAGATGTTGTCAAGGTCTTTTGAGAACAAGCAACGGAATCAGTAGAGAAAGATTATTATGGCCTGGAGAGAATGAGGCACCTGGGTGTAACCAGAGGGTCTGGCCGGCACACTAGACTCAGAGGAAAGGCAAGACGGCATATAACCAGATTGTGACAGGTACCATCAGTATTGGAACTCTGCGTTAGCTGCTGAAGGTGAGGACGGAGCATGCCCTGAGTGCTGTGATTTAAAATCTTGACTCAACTCCACGTTTCAGAAGCTTAAAAACTATTGGAATTACTCCAGGGAGGGGAGAACGAATAGATGAACTTAGGAAAGGGCCCTACAGTATGCAATGTTGAAAACCGTAGCAGGGAAAGATGCAGTTTGTGAGAAAATGGTGGAGAGTACCAGGGATAGAGAAGTGTGATGAGAACCCCGAAGACTATGAGAAACGTTAAGAATGTCGGGAACAGGCGAACGATGAAAATATCGGGGGAGACAAGAGAGATTCTAGCTAGCACTAAAGCACTTAGAGCTGCCAGTGATAAAGGATCATTAAAGAAAACAAAAATTCACATTAAATTTATGAGACATGTAAAAACAGCGTGTAATTTAAAATGTATTTATGCGTGAACCGTCAGGTGCAGCAAGGCAGTAGCAGATTTATGTACAACTGTTAAACGTCAGTCGGGGAACACGGAATTATACAGGCGATACAGAGTGTATTCTCATGTCAGTGACGGGGTGTATTCTCTTGTCAGTGACGGAGTGTATTCTTATGTCAGTGACGATTCTCATGTCAGTGACAGAGTGTATTCTCATTTCAGTGACGGAGTGTATTCTCATGTCAGTGACGGAGTGTATTCTCATATCAGTGACAGCGCGTATTCTCATGTCATTGACAGAGTGTATTCTCATGTCAGTGACATAGTGTATTCTCATGTCAGTGACAGCGCATATTCTCATGTCAGTGACAGAGTGTATACTCATGTCAATGACAGAGTGTATTCTCATGTCAGTGACAGCGCGTATTCTTATGTCAGTGACAGAGTGTATTCTCATGTAAGTGACGAAGTGTATTCTCATGTCAGTGACGGAGTGGATTCTCATGTCAGTGACGAAGTGGATTCTCATGTCAGTGGCAGAGTGCATTCTCATGTAAGTGGCAGAGTGTATTCTCATGTCAGTGACGGAGTATATTCTTATGTCAGTGACAGAGTATATTCTCATGTCAGTGGCAGAGTGTATTCTCATGTCAGTGGCAGAGTGTATTCTCATGTCAGTGGCAGAGTGTATTCTCATGTCAGTGGCAGAGTGTATTCTCATGTTAATGACAGACTGTATTCTCATGTCAGTGACAGAGTGTATTCTCATGTCAATGACAGAGTGTTTTCTCATGTCAGTGACAGAGTGTATTCTCCTGTTAGTGACAGACTGTATTCTCATGTCAGTGACAGACTGTATTCTTATGTAAGTGACAGAGTGTATTCTCATGTCAATGACAGAGTGTATTCTCATGTCAGTGACGGAGTGTATTCTCATGTCAGTGACGGAGTGTATTCTCATGTCAGTGACGGAGAGTATTCTCATGTCAGAGACGGAGTGTATTCTCATGTCAGTGACAGAGTGTATTCTCGTGTAAGTGACGGAGTGTATTCTCATATCAGTGACAGAGTGTATTCTCATGTTAGTGACGGAGTGTATTCTCATGTCAGTGACAGAGTGTATGCTCATGTCAGTGACAGAGTGTATTCTCATGTTAGTGACGGAGTGTATTCTCATGTCAGTGACGGAATGTATTCTCGTGTAAGTGACGGAGTGTATTCTCATGTCAGTGACAAAGTGTATTCTCATGTCAGGGACGCAGTGTATTCTCATGTCAGTGACGGAGTGTATTTTCATGTCAGTGACAGAGTGTATTCTCATGTCAGTGACAGAGTGTATTCTCATGTCAATGACAGAGTGTATTCTCATGTCAGTGACAGGGTGTATTCTCATGTTAGTGACAGAGTGTATTCTAATATTAGTGACAGAGTGTATTCTAATGTTAGTGACAGAGTGTATTCTAATATTATTGACAGAGTGTATTCTCATGTTAGTTACAGAGTGTATTCTAATATTAGTGACAGAGTGTATTCTCATGTTAGTGACAGAGTGTATTCTAATATTAGTGACAGAGTGTATTCTAATGTTAGTGACAGAGTGTATTCTAATGTCAGTGACAGAGTGTATTCTCATGTCAGTGACAGAGTGTATTCTCATGTTAATGACAGAGTATATTCTCATGTTAGTGACGGAGTGTATTCTCATGTCAGTGACAGAGTGTATTATCATGTCAGTGACAGTGTGTATTCTCATGTCAGTGACAGAGTGTATTCTCATGTCAATGACAGAGTGTATTCTAATGTTAGTGACAGAGTGTATTCTAATATTAGTGACAGAGTGTATTCTAATATTAGTGACAGAGTGTATTCTAATATTAGTGACAGAGTGTATTCTAATGTCAGTGACAGAGTGTATTCTAATGTCAGTGACAGAGTGTATTCTAATATTAGTGACAGAGTGTATTCTAATATTAGTGACAGAGTGTATTCTAATGTC